TATATATATATATATATATATATATCTCAAAAGTCAGACATTAAATGTTTATTCTCTTTTATCTCTGCTTCACATTGTTGTAGTTAAGTAGAGGGAAACTTCTCCCTTATCACCAGTAGATGTCAGCAAATATCTTTATTAGGTCAAGTCCATCCTTTGCTCACTAAATTTTACAAACACCTCAGCCTCTGAAAGCTATAGGCATGAGAACTTAAGGTTCTCTGTTTTTTTCACTGTAAGTGTCAAGGTTCTCTGTTTTTTTTCATTGTTAGTTTCATGTCTTTTGATATTGCAATTTCAAGTGACCACCATTTAAATGTGACTTTAACAGAGTCATGCATTTAATAAACTCTTTAAAGATTGTTTATCATTTGCAGTTTTGATTTCTTTTTTATCCATTAGATACAATTTGTAGTCATGCAAATTTCTATAGTTTGCTTTGGTCTTTTATAAGCTTAAAGGTCTTATGCCTCTTCATTATTCTAAAGATAGCACTTTTATTAATAATAACAGACCAGAGCCATAAGCATGTAGCAAAACATATGTTTTTAATGCAGTGATGCACTCTTTCACTCTGGTCCACTGGGCTGTTCCCCCCTGCGGTGATGCAAGCCAACCAGGCAGCTCAGTTCAGCATTTCTCAAAGCATCCTTGGTGTTTCTAGAAGTCCAAACCTCCAACAGACACAATAATTGTCTGTGGTTTAAAGAATCAGCATCAGTTTAACCCAATTTCTGAATGCAGGAGAAAATTGCTGCAGGCTCTAGCATTTGATGAGTAAAGTTTTTATGTAAACATTCATCCTCCCACAGTGCTTTTTATTCTGACCGAGCGACGGGATTGCTGTTGAAGGTTTGTATGTGCATGGCCGTGCCTGTATTGGTAGGCACCTCTTTGCAGCTCTGATGTTTTCTGCTGCTTTGAGGTATACCGTCTATCTTTGAACTTCAGCACACACAATACAAGCAGTTGCCAAGCAATTACAGAAACCCTGCTCTCTAAGAGTGTCTTTGGAAAGCCAGACAATGTTTACTTCTAATGCATTTTGTTGTTTTTTCTCTGTATTGTCAAAGACCGACATAATACATTATGAATGAAAAACACACAGCACTGTGTCTGCAAGGTCCAGGTGGTGTGGCGAAGACAATCAATCTCCTGACCATTTTAGCCAGCTGGGAGGGCCAGATGGTCTCCTCACAACAGGTAATCACAGCCAACATGCTGTTACACTTAAATCCTCACAAGTGGGTTACCAGAGCTACCTGGAACATTTGGGATACTGTTCATTTCCAATCCTGTTACTCTCTTTAGGCTTTTATGACAAGTCTGCAGCTGGTGATTTGTAGTAAAGCCTTAAAAACACACAGGATTTTCCCTCTTATTGATTCCTGCAGTTTTGTAGTCATACTTAAGTTTTGGATCATTAAACAAATTGCAATCTTAGATAACGATACCCTGAATACAGAAGGCAATATTTAGATTATCATTTTGTTTACTAGTTTAAACAAGATATACAAACAAACCAACTTCCACTATGAGAAGAAAACAAACCCTGTCTCGATGAGGGAGTTTTTTCTTTCTCTTTTCTTCTCTTGCACCAAAAAAAAAAGGTATTTCTCATGAAATCTGCTTGATGCAAACCTCACTGTTATGATTGAATCCAAAGCAATTTTCTCAGACTGGATTTCCCATTAATAATGCATGCTTAACATGTGATTTAAATGTGAGCAAACTGCATCAGTGTAGAGGGACATCTTGTACTGTATATGCTGGAGCTTTTAGCGAGCAGATCTTCCCCTGTGTGCAATTCCAGAGTTGGAATCTGTGGTTTGCACACAAACTAATAAAGACTACCCAGGACCCCGTGGTTAATGCTAACCGAGATAATCGGCTGATTGTTCTGATGACTAATCAGAATAACTGTCTAGATACAGTAGGTTTAAAATGTTAGCTGTATCATTTGTAAACTTATGTAACATTCACTCCTCTACATGGTTTAGCATTGTATTTTATAGGTATGTGTGTGATTTATAAAAAGGAAGCCTACTAATTTCCACCGTATAATTCAAACAAATGGTTCAAGAACTGTTGCCTTAAACAAATGGTTTTGCAGCAAGAAGGTTCTGGGTTCGATTCCCGGCCTGGGGTCTTTCTGCATTGAGTTTGCATATTCTCCCTGAGCATGCGTGGGTTCTCTCCAGGTACTCCGGCTTCCTCCCACAGTCCAAAAACATGTCTGTTAGGTTTATTGACTTGTCTAAATTCTTCTTAGGTGTGAGTGTGTTTGAATGGTTGTTCGTCCTGTTTTTCTCTGTGTTGCCCTGCGATGGACTGGCGTCCTGCCCAGGGTGGACCCCGCCTCTCACCTGTAGAC